CACACACACACACACACACACACACACACACACACACACACACACACACGTGGGCCCACTCATATCACAACTGCTAAAGAGAGTAAAACCTGATGTGCAGAAATGTCAAAGAATTCAGAATATAAAAAATAAGCAAAATATGCTAGGACAAATTGTAAGAAGGATAGTATCTAATGAATGATAACACCTCCAGAAATGTTCAGTGTCTATGAAAACCATGTCAGGCACCACTCAGAAATCTAGTATGGGAAGGTTAGAAATGAAAGCACTGGGTTTAACAGCCTATCAGTGTGATGAAATTGAAGGAATCTTTTAGGACACCACACCATATTCTCATGAGAGAAGGTGTCTGCAAACACTTCTTAAATTGTGCCAGATGCCTTGCAGAATCACTCAGTAATAGCTCTGAATCAGCACCTGGTGGAAGCAGGATGGCCCAGAGAGATCACTGTTGCCCCTCACACTCATCAGCCAGCTGTCAATCAAGAGCTGTGGTAGAATTGGTAATAAAGATGAGGATCTTAATATGTTTATACAGAGTGTAGAAATGAGACCTTTGGAACTACCAACTACAGGTTGCCATTCCCTTTCGTGTAATCATCCTAGGAAATAGATGCAGCAGCAATAGAAAATACTCTATTGCATGGTGTAACATATGCCCAGATAAAAAGATACCACTTATCCAAGTGTGATGTCATAGCTTCAAATTATCAGAACTCTGCTCTTATTTGAGAATTAGTGTGAGTCATAACCAGGAGACTTGGAAGGGGCCAATAAGAATAACTCAGAGAGGAATTAGGAGGATAAACCAATGCATGAGTTTTGAAAGTGAAAGAATCGTGATCAGGGGATTGTATAAGCTGAGACGAGGGAAAAGAAAAGTGGGAAGCAAAAGGGTTGAGCCTATCAAAATAATAAGTATACAAATGTCATAATAAAACTTGCTAAATTGTAAGCTAAGGAAAAAAACATATAAATACAACCCCCAAAGTAAAAATCAAGACAAAGAAAAGAAAGACACTCTTGATAATACCAAATTTGTGTATGCCTATAGAAAAACCAAGATTTTCATGCCCTTCAAGTGTCTGTGAATGCTACTACAACCATTGGGAAAAGGGTCGCATCTGCTTTAGTGGGACAAACAACCATACACACAAAGAGTCACACTTTGAAAGTTTCCAACATACTATTTTGTATTTAACTATTCTAAAAAGACTCATTTGTATAACTACAATTTACTTTGTGTTATGGAAGGTAAGCATTTTTTATAAGCTAGAGTTACATGTCTTTAATTTTTAAAAAGAAAATTATAATTTCATCTTTATGTATTTTCCCTCCAATTTAGTTAAAGAACCCACACAAACCCTCCATCCCAAATTCATGCCTTCTTACCTCTTTTTCTTGTATTATTTTTATGATTATATGCATATATATCTATGTTTTCATATTATATATGCACATATACAAATATATGTATTTATGGGTAAAATCTCGTTCTCTGTAATGTTATTTGTATATCCATGATTGCATTGTTCATAATTTGGTTGATTAACCAATTAGGACCTATTTTCTCCTACTCAAAGCAATTCCTTCATTACCTGTAACTTCAACCACTAAAGGAAAATGTTTCCCAACAGAAAAGAAGTTCATTGTTGCTAAACATTTAATAAAAACATAGAAAACAGAAAAAGCATGGGTGACCAAAATGTAGAAAACAAGTAATTGTATTGTGCCAAGTCAAGCTGTATATCCACAATGCAATTCCTGCACTCAAGTCTCAAGGAACATGATGTAAGAGGAGGCAGAAATATATTAAGAGCTGTAGAAATTTGTATTGTTAGTGAGATTGCATCTCCTAAATTTTAAGAAACTTATATCATGAAGTCTTAATATCCCTGCTTAAACAAATCTGAACAGTAGCATCAATAGTAGAAATTTAATATTCTCATCCTTAGAAATTATCAAAATGGCAGGAAGATTGCCTTCTATAAACAATGTTCTGTCTGCTAGCTTGTCATTAATCTCAGACATTGAACCTAAGGATTTAATTACTATGATTAAAATGTATATATAAAGTTATAATGCCACTAAATTGTATAGACTGTATCCCAGCAGCCAATTTTCATTTTGCAGAAATGGAAATATTTTTTAAATAGACACATCTTACAAAATCTGTTGTTCTTATGTGACAACAGGTCGTAAATCTGAGTGCTATTTCTGCCTTTGTGATCTAATCTCCTTACTTTGCTCACAAAGCTGCTTAGGACAACTAAGAAGCACATTCTTAAAAACAATCCTCTGTGTAAAAGTAGGCAGAATACATGTGATATTGTGAGTTTTGCCTTTTGAGTCCCTGGGTAGTTAGGGCTAGGTTCTGTGCCTTAGGAGTGCTATGAACTGTAGACCTTGGCCAGTCAGTCCAGGTGCCAGTACCTATGCAAAAAGTATCTTCTCAATAAATATATTTTGCCATGTGAAATTTCCATTTTTCATAATGCATAGTGAACTCCTGTGCTCTTAAATTATCATAACAACATATTTCTTATATTGTGATCAAACTTGAGAAATGTGCCATTAATTAATCCAAGCCTTGTTCCTAAAACAAAAATGTTGCAGGTGGTATGTGACTTCTTGGAAAATATTTTGGCTTCATATTTTTATATTTCTCTCTCCTCCTGCTCTATCTCTTTCTCTCTCTCTCTCTTGCTCTCTCTCTCTCTCTCTCTCTGTGTGTGTGTGTGTGTGTGTGTGTGTGTGTGTGGTCATTTTCTATTGGTTTATTATCTAAAAATTTGGAATAGTAGCTCCACAATTCAGTATTCGTCCACAGTTTCCCTTTTGCCATCAGCCACTGTTCCTAAGATTCCATCCCTCCCCTCTAGTGCCCTGGGTTCCCTTAGTATCCTAACACCCAAGGGAGGAAAATGTGGAGAAATATTTAACATGTCCCTCTGCAGTTCAACACAATTGGAAGTTTTTCAGCCTGTGAGGCAAAGATGTATTCTTCAGGGGTGATATCATTTCATCAGACAATGCCACGGTTTCCTCTTGTAACATCATCTTGACCACAAGGGAAATGAGGTCTAAGTATATGAACATGTCAGTCACAGTGTGCAGGGGATTTGTTCCTACATGGATACAGCCTGTCTGCCCCTCTGTCCACTGCAGTCCTATCCAGCATCGGCTATTGCAGATAAATTATTTCCTCTGGTGAGTGATGGAGTTTTTTCGCTGCAGACTTGAAGAAGCTAGGACAACCTGCTGAAAGTTGTGTGTGTGCAAAACTGAACTGATCTTTCTCTTTCACGAGAGACACCAGCACAGGCGTAGTACCTACGAAGGGGCTGATTACCCCTGATGCCTCAGCATGTTACGAGTTAAATAACCTGTACATGAGGTGTTCTATTAGTTCTTTTCATATATTCTTAGGAGTACTTGCTAAGGTTATTGCTATTGGTTTTTATTAATAAAAAGGATCTTTGTGATTGATACATACATGACATTACTTATGGGTTCGCCTCCTCTCCCTTTCTCTTTGGAGAAGTTTCAGCCTCTGTTCAGTGACATGCTACAGTGCATGACAGCCACAGTGAGCTAACAGATTGCTTTCTTTCAGTATCGAATCACCCCTGCTTGATTGTATAAACTCTTCTTTAAACTCTGGCTTCTAGAAGAAGTCAATGATTTTTGTTTTACTACTACAAACATGAGTGAATAATAGATTCAAGAGGCTATATTCCTTTTGTGAAGGGAAGTAATTGTAATGAGAATCTAATATTGTATTTAGGTGTATAAATATAGAAAAGTCAGATATATGTAGATACCAATAGGAGTTAATTAAATGGATTCTGTCTTACTGTACCAAATTTACATTTTCATATTTGGAGCTGAATGTTCACATCATTGAATTTGGAAGTTCTAACTTGTAGACATGATTTTCTCTTCTGAGTACTACTTGGACGTACGTGCAGAACTAGAGCATATTTTTGTTCTGTCTAATTTCAAATATTATATATCATAATGTTTATGTAGATATAATTTAATTTGTATTATATTTAGACAAGTACACCCAGTTAGTAAACTTTTCCAGGTGTGAATAACAATAACTTAGAAAATAAAGGCAAAAGTTGGCATTACTAAAATTGTGATGTTAGGCAATTTTAACATTTATTGAACACATTTTTAAGAAAAAAATATTTTTATATGATCAGCATCGATGTCTTTGGGTAATTCTTTTTATACTTATGCGATAATGGCCTAAAAATATGTCAGGATACAACAGGATTGTTTGCAAACACATAGATAGAGTTTTTAAATGGAAAAAAGGAAAGAACAAACACATGATTACAATATAATTAGTTTTTATTTCCAAACAGGGTATGTTTTCATAGATGAAAAGTTGCTGCATATTATTTCAACCCTGAAATGTCTTTATTTTACCACTGGTAGGATCTGGGGAATCTGGGAGTTCGAGTGATGGTTCAGTGTTTAAAGGTGCCTGCCTCCAAGCTTTGATATTCCAAGGTTTACAAAGTTGAAGAGTAGACATATATCCTGTAAGTTGCCCTCCAACTCTCTCTCTCTCTCTCTCTCTCTCTCTCTCTCTCTCTCTCTCTGTGTGTGTGTGTGTGTGTGTGTGTGTGTGTGTGTCTATCTGTCTGTCTTTTTCTCTTACTAAAGTATGATTAATTGTCTTAACAATCTCACCAGTTCAACCATGGATACCAGGCTGCAACAAATTTGAATTGAATATTGATTACAAGGCACTGTACAATATGCCAACTTGAAGTAAGGGATCCTATATAATTTGACATTCCACCACATTCAAGACATTCTCAAACTCAGAAACTTTCATGATACAATATCTAATTCTCCAATAATGAAATACACTAGTTGGTGAAGAGCACAATACTTAGCATGGCATAAAAAAACATAGTTCTTCATGTCTATCTAGAGATCTCTGATATCACATTAAGTGATAATCACAGAAATTAAACAGAATGATATCGACAGACCTGGCCATGGGGATCATCTTTCTGTCCCAGACTGCACTGGGAATGATGGGAAACTCAGCCTTGCTTTGCTGTTTCATCATCAATAAATTCTCTGGGATCAGGGCTCGGCCTACAGACCTAATTGTCAAACACCTCACCTGTGCTAACTTCATGGTTCTGATCTGTAAAGGAATCCCTCAGACAATGGCTGCTTTTGGTTGGACATATTTTTTAGATACCATTGAATGTAAACTTGTCTTTTATTTTCATAGAATTGCCAGAGGAGTGTCCCTTGGGTCCACAGCCCTCTTAAGTTTCTTCCAGGCCATCATGATCACCCCAAGTAATGCCAAGTACAAATACATCAAAGTAAGAGCCAACGATATCATTGGACCTTCTGTCAGCATGTGTTGGTCTCTGCAAATGATGCTAAATGGCTTCATTCCTGTGCTTGTGACAGACCTGGGGGATGGAAAAAATGTCACTGATTTTGGAGATTTTCTATACTGTGTTGTGACCAAACCTCAAAATCTAACCTACGCATTATATGTAATCTTATTGGGCTCCTCTGATGTCATTTGTTTGGCACTCATGATATGGGCCAGTGTATCCATGGTGCTTATCCTGCTGAAACACAAGCAGAGGGTCCAATATATGCATAGAGTTTTGTGTCCTAAATCATCTCCTGAGACCAGAGCCACACAAACCATCCTTGTCCTGGTGAGCAGTTTTGTGTTCTTCTATACAACATCTGGCATGTTAACGATGTGTTTAACTTCTGTAAACGGGATCACTAAGTGGTTGGTTAATGTCAGTGTTGCAACAGCTGCGTGCTTTCCAGCACTGTGCCCCTTTCTTCTCATCAGACACTACACCTCAGTTTCAATGCTTTGCTGTACTTGTTAATTAAATTTCAGAGAGTTCTCACATTTACGGCCTGCCCTCTTCCTATTTTTTTTGTTCTATTGTTTTCTATCATTTTATAATTCTTATAAGAAAGCACTTTCTGAAATTTCATCTCTAATCAGAAAAATACCTAAAGATGGTTGTAAATTTTAAACTGTCACCAATTCCATTTTAATCAGATGATTGCCAATAAAGAAATATCGACATTGGAGCTGTATGCACTATAGAAGTTAAGGACTTTGATGAAAGTGCATCTTATTCACTGATACATTGTGTGTACAGGCTGTATGTGAATTTTATTAGTTGTAGAGAAAACAATAACAAATTTTCCACAAAATGGATTTTGCTTGGATAAAAATAGCATATGTTTTCTCACATATGTACATCCTGGGCTATGATTCCTAGATAAGTATTTAAATGTGTGAGTAAATACATTATATACACAGATAAGTAGAATGGCACTATATGCTCTGCTCCCTTGCTATGCAGACAAAACGTAATCTCGTAGCAGATGTCCTGTCCTCTGGATTTTACACCCCTTTGTCCAGATTTTTCTGAATCTTAGTTACAGGGCTTATGCTGTAGATACATCAGATTGGGGCTGAGCCCGCTAGAGTCAGTTGTTCTGTGTATTTTGACCAGTTGTGTACTACTATAATGGTCTTTATTTGTTTTTTAAAAATGTAGCTGTTTGCTGATAAGGTCTGAGACTTATTTTTACCAATGGGTTTCAGACTAAACATAGAATTCAGCTTTAAATTGTAGTGGTTAGAATGGTGGAAAAAGTAGGATCTCTTCTAGGTCAATAGCCTTATTAGCCATTAGCTAGTAAGCTAAGTATAGTACCAGGCATGATTTACTCCACTTAAGCCAGTCGTAAATTTATTCATGAATTTTCAAGATTATTATTTTCAGGCCAAGGTCTGAAGAGTTGCAGCCCTACTTGCCAGGCCAGCATGGATGGGAAATCTGACATGGATCCACATATGGATGGAAAGCTATAGCTAATTAGTGTGCGTAGATGAAGGCAACATTAGTCTTCCCTAGGGATTTGTTATCTTATAGCATGAGGTTAGACCTGAAATGCATGTATATCATCAGTACAATGAATTTAACACATTCTAAATATGTATATAGTGGTAATTATTATAAAAATAAGCCTATTTAATACATGTTATTTTATATTTATACAATTTAAATGGATTATTATATTTGCATAACTCTATAGGTAATTAAAATTAAAGAGACTATTAATTTGAAAGACAGCTATAGGATGAGAGAGGATCCATTTCCTATAACCAGAAAAGGAAAATTAGGCACCCCTCTAATGTTCTCTGATGTTAGATCTTTTTTCCTATAGCACATTAACTACACAAAATAAAGAGTCTCATCATGTATGATCAATTCCAAGGATAGGATCTGACAATTTGTTATAAAGTTCTAAATCAACTTCTAGAAGACATCTAGTTTGCTATTACTGTGCCTATACCTCGGCATGTGTGGGACATTATTTCATAGTAAATGTTACTACTGTCACATATTCTCTGAGGCATTGTTAATGGTTTGTATTATAGAACAATCTAGGATCAGATAAAGGTACAGAGGTCTTATAGAGTCATTGTAAAAACACTGTCTACATCCTATATCCACTATCTTTCTACCATTAAGAGTTTCAGAAATCCACTGCACCTTATCATACCTGAATATTCTCTAATTAGTCCCTTTTCTATCCTGCAAAATCTTTGAGTGACTGACTGTTTTTATTAGTTTAGACTCCTTTGCAGTGACCTCCGTAGTATTGAGTTAATCATCTGTGTCTTCCATACTCTTTTTCTGTGCATTCTCCAAATCCAAATATGTCAGACTAAACACTATGTCTTCTGTATTTGATTCCAAGTGCTTTCCCCCTTAAGTTTTAGGCATATGCAACTCCTCCATAACACTGATACATGCCTTTGGCACCTAGAGTCATTTGGAAGAACACATTTTTTCCTAACCAGATATACAATTACCCAATGTTCCCCACTTAACTTCATTTTTCCACTCAGTTATCATCCCCCATGTTTTACCCTTCAGCCAACCTGTTCTGTTACTGATATGATTCAAACAGAAAAAAAATGCTTTCAAAGACTTGGGTTTTGCAGTATATATTATAACATTGGTACTGTTTAGAAAAATTGTGGACACTTTTGAAGGTTAAACATAACTAGTGGTGGTCAGCAAACCGGTGATTCCTGTGTATAGTATTCTTGGGGCCTAACCCTTTGTTGTAGGCTTGTAGTAAGTAGTGAGTATTATTATGCTGAGATATTATCCCTGTATCTCTTGTCACATCATGCAAAAATGCTAGATTTGTTTTTTTAAAAAAAGTATTTATGACATCAGGGATGGCAAGTTGAATGTTTCTATCAAATCCATCCCCTCAGAGCTCAAACAAGCCCATGGGAGAGGACACAGAAAGAAGATAAAAGCCACAGGGAATGAATGACACCCACTGAATCAACTGAAAAACCTCCCGTGAACTCATGGAGACAGACACCACAAGCACAGGAACTGAATGGGTTTTCATCTAATCCTCTGCATATATATTATAGCAGTCACTTTACTATTTTTATGAGTCTGCAGAGTTTATGAGTCAATGGGTCTCTGATTCTTGTGTCTTCTCTTGGGACCTTTACTTTTGTTGATTTCCTTGCCAAGTCTCAATGAGATTTTTTTTAATAAAATTATGTTTTACCTTGTTATGCTTTGTTGGTATGGCTAAGAAGCTTATGATTCTTTGATAATGACTGAAAGAACGTGGGTGAGCACGGAAGGAGAAGTGGAGAGGAAATGTGGGGAGTACCATGAGGAGAAATTGAATTCAGGATATATTGTACAACAAAATAATCTCTTTTCAATAAAAGGGAAAAAGAGAGAATATTTTGTGGCATCTAATGGGACAATCAAGTGATATCTGCATTTGATTCCATCTGTGTGATGCCCTATATTGACATCTGGCCAGAGTTTAGCCATTCCATCCCCATATCTTGGGATATATTGTGATACCACTTCATTTTAAACTAAAATCGCTTTATTTTAATGAACTCACAAAAAAATTATTGCAGAGCTACAAATAAATAGTTCTTTCTTCTATATGGTTAGAATAGCTATGCTGCAGCCATGGAGCATTGTTTAGAGTTTACACTGTCAGTATCATATATATATATATATATATATATATATATATATATATATATATATATATAATATGAGACAGAGAATGAGAAAATGGCAGAGTTGAAAATAGAAAAACAATTATCTTGATATTCTCTTTTATAACCAATGGATGACTGTGTCTGTCCATTGCCTAACATCATCTTTTATGCTATCCCCACTTTTCATTGTTTTGAGACAGAGTTTCTCTGTGTAGCTTTGAAATCTGTCCTAGAATTCACTCCACAGACCAGGCTAGTCTCTAATTCACATAGATCCACCTGCCCTACCTCCCAAGTGCTGGGATTAAGAGCATGTCCCACCACCAGCTGGCTTCATGCTCTCCTTTCTAAATGTTATACCAGATTTGTAGTCACCAATTTACATTTACACATTTGCACATTATAGGATAGAAGTTACATATGAAGGAGAACATGTGACATTTTTTTCAACATGAGATTCTCTGATCAAGTTTACTATATGCAGTATAGCTGTATCATTTTTCCTGTACACTTTATGATTGCATACTTCACTGTATTTGAATAATAATCCAATTTGAACATGAACACAAACTATATCATAAGTTAATCTGTTTTTGGCTATATGGGTGGGCTCCATTTCCATGCTATGGAAATACAGCAGTAATTAAGATATATATATATATATATATATATATATATATATATATATATATGAATATTGAGTTCTCTGGGTATATATGCCCAGGAATGGAAGAGTTGCATCATATTGTAGTCCTATTTTTAACTTTTTAAGGTACCCAAAAAGCTGATTTTCACAATGATTCTATTAATAGATTTCCAAACTCTTTTTATGAAAACAGCATTACAGTACAGTAACATCACGGCAGCAACAAAGGAAACAGACAGAACAGTCTTCCCTATGAACACAGATGCAAAATTTCTCAAAAACATATTGGTAAAAATGTCAAGATAACATCAAAACCATCATTCATTTCCATTGATTACTGTGTGAACTGGAATATATCCATTATATTTTTTCACCAAGTGGTAAGGAAGATGTTCTTTTCCGAGACATTGTTGAGGATTGTTGCTAAAAGATTCAGAGTAAACCAACCTCATTATCTCTAGTGCATCTGACAGCAGGGTATTTGGAAAATTTGGCCTGAAGATATTTTCTGGTACTGGTGCAGGCTTGGGTAGCTGTGAATGAGCCAGAGGCAATCGAAACATAGCTTCATTTCTAGCCATGGTTTCCATTTTTTCTTGTCTTTAGAATTTAGGACCCACAAGCTCTCTGTGAAATAACCAAACACTCAGGATGACCTGGCAGGATTAGAGTCAAAAAAAGGGCAGCTTTATTGAGAGATTTTTGGTAGATCCTTTGTACATCACCAGAAAAAGAGAAGCCTGGATGCTGTAAGTTGAAGAAGAATATATTCCTCATTAAATGAGATAAGCTGAGCTAGGTATTTAATTGAACCAGCTGACGAAACTCCCAGATACATTATTTTGGTTAACAGTTAAAAGGTAAGGAAATACCTCCTTAAATACATGTACTGACACTGTGATAGTGATTGGTAAGTAGACATCTGTACACCACACAGAAGATAACATTTTCATACTTAAAATAAGAATAATCAATTTGTATTCCTTATCCTTACCAAACTGAGTCTCGGTACTCTGCAGTAATAATTCATAACCGCCAAGGGTGCAAAGGAGGGAAAACACAGAGAAGTCAGGTTAGTGATATTCACCAGCCACCAAATGTGATTATACAATAGAGCTATGCAGCCTTGTAAGATAGAGGACAGAGTATAAAAAGCCAGAAAAATAAACACCAGGACCAGGATGTTCTTGATGGCTCTGGACTCAGGGGAGGTTCTTCTGCAACTGCAAGTGCTATGGATATGTTGAACCCTATGTTTGTGTCTGTATAGAATGACAACCATGGAGCCACTGGACCAGGCCATAAGAAAAGAAAAGAATATTTCAGGGCACACCACTAATGCTACATAGAGTGAGTTGCTGATTTCATTCTGCCCTGCAATGAAGCAGTATCCAAAATCTCGTTTTCTGGTCACATTTTTACAATTCCTTTTGATGAACGGGTACACAAAGTAAACGAAATGTATCAACATGTACAAGATCCATAGGAGAGCAATAGAGATGCCAATGTACTTAGGAGATTTGACTCTTGGATCCTTACAACAAAATTGCATGTGACTGATGGTCATGGCCTGGAAGACACTCAACAGGCAGGTGATGCCAATGGACACACTCCGACCAACTCTTTCAATAAACAAAACTAATCTGCATGCACAATCATTTAAAAATTGCTTCAAACCAAAAGCTGCCATTGTGTGTGGCACTCCTGCAGAAAGAATAGTCAAGACATTGGCTGCCATTAGGTGTGTGAGAATTAACTCTGTGGGTTTTAATATGCATTCTCCACACTGGATTAAGTAGTAGTAAAGAAGAGAGAAATTTCCCAAAATTCCAGTTGTAGTTTCTGACAAGAAAATAATTTTGATGGTCAGATTCCAAAAGTCCATTCTTCAACTGTGGATGAGTTTCTTTAGTTAATTTCCAAATCCATTTCTCTGGTCAAAATCGATGAAAACAATTAGTAATCCAAAGAACTACTGACATGCTAAATTAAACTGTTCCTTGGAGCTTAACTATACTATCTCAATCCAGATTACAACCAAGAATTTCTCAAAGTGTATGAGAGAAGAAATTATTAGTTATAATACATGTGGCTATAAGATGGCCAATGGACTCAGCCACTACCAACCGAGCATAATGTAAAATAATGAATATATACTCATATTTTTTAACTATGGTATAAGAGAAGACAATATGAATGATCAGTAAAAAAACTGAGGGGATAACAATTCTTGATATATATCTTATCTAAAATTCAAAGATGAGTAATGAAAATTTATATAGCAGTCACACTATAAATACAATTATTCATAAGAAATTTTTATTAAGGGAATAAAATGCATCCAATGCTGGTTTGAGTGACAACTTATACCTTACTAATTTAAGAGCTTGCTCTTATGAAAAGTCATAACACATAGACACACACATATGTGAAAACCCATTTTAGGACTGTTAGAACATTGGTAACATCCAATGGGATAAAATTCCACAGAATCCTCAACAGAAGAGTAATAGGGAAAATAAATCAGCATAAATGGCAAAGAGAAGGTCACTATGTGAAGAAGGAAAGCTAGTAGAGAAATGTTCATTGTTTCTATAGAAACTGTGACTAGAATATTCAGGTACCACTCATGAGCCTAGAGTGGAAATAATAAGAAAGAAGCAGTGCATTAGACAGCCAATCAGTGCAGAGAGAGGAGACTGATGACACTGTACTCTATCCCTGCAGATGACCATGTGTGAAGCCTTCTTAAATAGTGTAAGATCGCCTAAAAGAATGAGGCAGAAGCAGCTGTTGATAATTACAACTCTGGAACTAGAAGCCTCAAGATGGGCACTATTGCTCTTCCCACTAATCATCCACACAGATATAATAAATTGGGATATCAAGAACTAGGGCAGAATTATTAGAGTATCTTTAAATCTGAAAAATAAAAAGTTAGAACAAAGTGGGTAGATAAGCTGAGACCTTAGAAATACGCCATAGTATGCCCTGGCAGTGGATCAAATCACGCCTCAGAGAATGGCTGAAGCAGATAATAGGAAGTATCATATTAAGTGTGGCAATATTAGCCATGAAGTATCAATAGTGTATGTTGTGTCTCAGTGTGGCTTCTTAGCTTATAATTTTTACACCGTGTGATTATGTGGCAGTTAGTGTGTGTCAAGCACAAAAAAAAAAAAAAAAACAAAACTAGACTGGTGGCTCATAAGAGTGTTTTAAAAAGCCTCTGTAAGAAAGGCCAGTGAGGATAAGACAGAAAACATGATTACAGCATAGAAGAAACACGCAGGGATTGTATGTGTAGACAGATGGGAAAAGTTGGGAATGTTTCTATCAAAATAGTAAATTGGAAAAAGCCTAAAAGAAACATGCAACATTTATGTTCATTAAAAATTAGTAACCAAAAAACAAAAGATAATTAAAATGACAAAAAGGAAAGAAAGAAACAGTTGAAAATAACAAATTTGGGTATAGTTCTGTGTAAAAACGTGAAACTCGTAGCCTGGTAAAGTCCTAGAATGTCACTACACTCTGGAAAACAGGTCACATTTGTTCACATAAAGCAAATACAAACAAAAATGACAATAATCTCAGCTTTTAAGATTAGAAACAAAATAAATTTATTTACATCATCAAAGGAAAGTTAAATTTATAATCCAGTAATAGTCTTGGGACCTTCAGCCTGAAGACCACCCATACATCATGATCTATTAATTAATATAGGCACAGGATAGAGTCCTACATGCTAACATACCAGTACTCCCTGGAAATATAAAATATCTATTGGGTTACAAATGAGGTTTCCTTTGCAAAATTCCCATGGTATATATGGGTATGAGTTTTCTTTTCTTTTCTCATATAAATATGTATGCATGTATGAACATATATAATACTGACACTATTAATCTGCACAAACTACTACACAAAACACTAATATATGATTAACAAATAATAGCATGAGAAGAATATTAAGTTTCTAAAATTTTTCTTTTAATAGTCCACATGCATTTGCTCCTTTTTAATAACTTTTTCATGACTCAGTGCCAGTATGTAGCTCTGATTGCCCAGTAACTCATTGTGTTGATCATATTGGCCTCAAATTAAAGAGAACTGCCTTCCTCTTCCTCCCATGTGCATTGATTAAAGGTTTTCAACATACATCTGACAAATTTGCTGATTTACATATGTATGAGTATGCAAATGTGAGGCATGTGAGACAACAAAGCAAATTGGAAGAATGTGAAAACTTAAAAATTGTCAAGTGAGATGTAGCACACTAATAATGAATAAAAATGAAAAGATGTGGATTCCTCCAGACTAATGTGGTTTGATCAAGCCAGACCGCCTGAAACAGAGTACCAGGTGATCCTACATTCAAAACAGCTGGACAAAGCAGCCTTACAGACTACAGCCAGGATTTCTGAATCTTCTTCGAATCCCCCATGACAGCGCCCCTTACCAGCAGGAAGTAGTTTGGAAAGAACAACGCCCAAATTCCCAAATATTGTCTATAAATGTTTGTTTTCATTTAAATGGACTTGGTTATATAAAATAAAATTTAAAAAAAATGAAGCGGAGGAGTAAACCCTGGCGTACCACTCACAAGGCTCTGTCTTCCATTATCAATAAGGATTCATAGAGTGAAGTCAAGACACCAGGTTCTGTTTAATATTAGGGCATAATAAAATCAGGGACAATAACTCATGATGGATTCGGTCCTTACTGTCATTACCTGATAATCATACTGTACCTTCCCTTTTATTGTCCCTTCTAAAGTTCAAGAGTGAGAAAGTTCAAACCAGTCATTATATAAATTACTATTCACTACAGATTCAGACACTTCTTCTATAACCAAATCATAAATTTAATGTCATAAATACATTTCACTCCACAAACATAGTCACATCCTGCACCTCCCAAGAATATGTGCCCCATACATTTTCATTCTACTCTTTACTATGACATGAAACCATGATTAAAAAAAAACTCAAATAGTAATACTGAAGATATAGTCCACTCATCATGTAAGCCAAGGTGAATTATCACATTGACTTATTATCACAACCCTTCAGCATATTCAAAAGAGGTACATTATTCAGCTCTTACAATCTCAGTAAGTGCAGTAACTTATAATACAGTTTAAAAAATAGCAATGCCTTCAAGGCTAGGAAAATTTGGATTATCTAACTAAACTCTCATTCAAGTTTTCTTGTGCATTCTCTGTTCCATGGATGTGTTTCTACCTCGGATCCCATTACCAGACATGAACACTTACACAAGCCTATCTTCTTTGCAAACTCTACCACTTAGACTGAAACACACAGTACTCACCTGGGTTCTTGTCTATGCAGGTAGGTGGGTTCGTTGGGCATATACAGACTCATTAATACACATCACTGTGGAAGGTTAGAACAAGGGCGTTGTAGAGGACTGTGACTCTGTGACTTCACCTCCCTCCAGAACAGCAATTTTCTTTTCACCTTCACTGACAAGGACAGCACTAGCTGTGGGAGGCAAGATAATCAATGAAAATTTTCTAGTTTTTAATTAGCAAAGACATTTTAGAGTTCCTTGAGTATCCAAAGGGATAAAGTGTTATGAAAAGGCATTGAGTTTTCATGATCCCTGATTGATGATGGGGTCTCCTGTGGAAGGTACCAGAATCTCTGAGGTCAGATTCATGTGAAAGTGAGATAACAGCTCTCCCTCCCACCATACTTTGTCTCTCCTCCCATCCAACCTCCATCTAATATTCCCCCAGTGTATTGGCTCCCGTGGAAAGTTGACCAAGCCTGGCCCATTAAGCTGAGGCTGGACCAAGTACCTCCTACATGAATTTAGGCTGAACATGGCATCCCACCATAGGGAATGGGCTCCAACAAACTAGCTATTGCACCAGAGAAAGAGGCTAGTCCTTTAGTCAGCAGCCCCTCAGATAGAGCCAGCTACACAATTATCTCCTACATGCAAATGACATAGTTCAGTCTCATGGAAGTTCACCAACGATGGTCTAGAGTCATGAGTTCCCACTGGTTTGGTTCAGCTGTCTCTTTAGATTTCCCCTCCATAATCTTGAATTCCCTTGCTCATGTACATTATCATATCATCAGAAAACAGCTATAGTTTGACTTCTTCCTTTCCAATTTGTACTCCCTGATCTCCTTTTGTTGTCTTGTTGCTTAGCTAGAACTTGGAGTAAAATATTGCATAGATATGAAAACAATGGATATCTGTGTCTTATTCCTGATTTTCATGGAATCACTTTGATTCATTTATTTTGATGTTGGCTGTCACCTTGCAGTAAATTGTTTTCATTAGGTTTAGGTATGTTCCTTTTATATCTGCTCTCTCTAAGACCTTTATCATGAATGGGTATTGGATACACTCCTGTTTCTCTTATTTCCCTCCTCTCTCCCCTCGTGTTCCCAGAACTCCAAGTAGAGTGGACCAAAAATAAGTCCCCTTGTTGCATAATAATCAGAATAAAAAATACATGATAAAGAAAGAATATTAAGAGCTGCAAAGGAAAATGGCAAAGTAGCATATATAGATAGACCTATGAAAATTACACCTGATTTCTCAATGGAAATTCTGGAAGCCAAAAGGTACTGAATAGATGTTCAACAAACACTAAGAGACAATGGTTGCCAGCCCAGACTACTACACATAGAACAGCTTTCAATCACTATGGATGGAGTAAACAAGATGTTCCATAACAAAATCTGATTTAAAAAATATATATCCACAAATCCAGCCTTACAGAAAGTAATAGTAAGTAAAACCCAAGGAAATTAACTATACTCACAACACATAGGCTATGGATAATCCCACATTACCAAATCCAAAAATATGGGGGATTCCACACATAATAGCACCATCAACATCAAATCC